AGGAAGGATTATAGCCTCCCTGAAGAATCTGCCTGAATAGGATGGGCAAAAGGAAACATTAGCAAAGCCTTGGACAACAACCCTCCTCCAAGTTCACCAAATTTCTGAAGACCTTTACCAGAAAACAAAATCACTTTGTCATGTGACAGTCTAATCTACTTATTGACAACAGTCACTACAGACAAGAAGTTTCTCCTGATATTCAGGGTGAATTTCCTATTTTTAGATGGACACAAAATGTGTTTCAAAAACAAGTGGGAGATTTTGCTTTATTATTGACTTTTTATCATTATTATTTTTTTTAAAGTGCTGCTGGAAAACATTGAAAGCAAGACCAGAAGACCCCATAATCAAGTTGTAGGCTGTGTAAACATAAAAGAAGTTCAAATCCCTGACAGAAATGTAATCCAAACATTAAAGAGATTTGTCCAAACATTCACTTGGTTTGGATAGTGCTGATCATAGAGCCGAGGTGGCGCAGTGGTTAAATGCAGCACTGCAGGCTACTGCTAGATCAGCAGTTCAGCGGTTCAAATCTCACCGGCTCAGGGTTGACTCAGCCTTCCATCCTTCCGAGGTGGGTAAAATGAGGACCCAGATTGTTGGGGGCAATATGCTGACTCTCTGTAAACCGCTTAGAGAGGGCTGAAAGCCCTATGAAGCGGTATATAAGTCTACTGCTATATTCACTTGTTTTCTTGATAAGCCATTTTTTTCTTCTCTAACACACTGCATTTATTTCATTCTAATTGTGAAATAGGTTAGATATCTAATATTATTCTGTTGAAACTAAATTGTAATGAGACTAAATTCCTACTTTGCAGAAGAAACACTATTTTGCTTATTTTGAAGCAGTATACTATGGACAAACAAAGGATTTAACAAAGGATTTTCATTTCATTTTCATTTATGCAACTAATGCTTGAGCTAGATCTAATTTTACAGGTTTGGATATTGCTTATAATAGTATTTATTTGATTTATTAAGTCATTTTACTTCCCTAATTCTTAGAACTATGCACTGTATTTCTTTCATTTTATTGTGAAATAAGTTAGATATCTAATATTATTTTCTGTTTAAAACATCAGATATAGATATAATAACCACATTTCACTTCCACTAAGACTTACTTTGCACAAGAAACATTACTCTTGCTTCTTTTGAAGCAGTATGCAAAACAAAAGACTTTCATTTATGCCAGTAGATGCTTGAGGAGATCTAATTAATAAGATGTAATCTGGAATAAAGAAACACTACATTCTTGAAGTAATACAATAAAAAAATACATCTATGCATGCCAAGCAAAGTTAATTAGCAGGAAATACTTTTACCATTTAGACTCAAGGATGCCAATTGATGAGGTGCTTGGTTGTCTTACAAAAATCTTGAGAAGGAATAATAACAGCATGAGAAAGAATAAGAGCATAAGAAAGTTGTGCTTGATCTAATAGAATATAATCTTAGTAAAATAATATAGTACCAGCATCTATTGTAATGACTCTATGGAATTTTAAATAAGGGTTTCTCCCACAGGTTTTAATCCCACAACTATCTCTAAAATCTACTCCCCAATAGGCTTTGTGTTTTTCTTAGTTCTCTTGGGAATCCAGAACTCCCCAATACATATTCCGAATACTTTGGCACTTGTAAATTCTGTGTGTGTGTGTGTGTGTTATTTTGTAAACCTCGTCTTCTCACTCAGCATCAAAAGATTACAAAGATTCCTTACAAATCACAATTTCGATGTCTTGAATTCTTACTTAGTCTTGAACTCTTACTTAGCAATTCTTACTTGATCAAAGAAAGTAGGAACAAGGTATATGGGTATCTTCCCACAAATCTATGCATAATTCTATATATTTAGTATCAATGTATCAGATTATGCTGGGATTATATTTTTATAGGATTCTTTTTACCCAGTTAAAGATTTATATTACTCCAGTATATTTTGGGAAGATAAATCAAACCCTAAGTAGCATCCCAAGTGGTGTTTGTGTGTGTGTGTGTGTGTGTGTGTGTGTGTGTGCGCGCGCGCACGTGCACTCGCACGCTTAAACGGTTTGAAAAGTTGGGTATGCTATCTTAATGGGTCTATACATGTATTTCTCTTAACATGAAAAGTCTAAGGAAGTATGTAGAGCAAAAGCATGTTTTCAATATCTTGTGCATGTTTTAAATATGCTTAAAATGGCAGATGGCACATGTAAAGACAAATGGGCCAAAATTTGCATTTACACCTTTTCCTTCTACATTTGCATATACAGTTCTTATATTTCCTACAGAGGAGAATTCCTGCTCACTGTCCTTCCTCCTTTTCCACTTCCTTTTTCTTTGTCAATCTGTCATGCTGCCAAGAACCATGGTTCCTATTCTGTCAGTTAACGTTTTCTACTGCATTTGTAAAGGCAGGAGGAAGACTATTCCTAGAAAGTTGCCTCTGATGTTCACAATCTATTGCTTGATGTTCAGAATCTCATCTTTTGTGTATGTAATCCACAGTGCATCATAGAAAATAATAAAAAAAATCCATCAAAATTATTAGAGAGCATTTCACTGAGGCTGCCCTCAGCATGACCATCTTGAGGCGAAAAAAATAAGTATCCTATTTATGATTTGAAGATATAACAAATATTCAGTCCCTAAATATAATATGGATTATGTATTCACTACATTTAACTCTTCTTATTTTAATAATTATCTCTTAACTTCTTTCATGTTGTTAATCAAGTTTAATTCATTTTATTGTCATTGCACTTAACCAAATTAACTGTCAACATTATAACTACAAAAATAAAACACAATGTGACTTCAGTTGTGTAAAATGCATGATGAAAAACTATATTCTGCAATCTGAGTCTACCAAAATGTTTTGGTTATAACAATTTAAATGATGGGATCGGATGGAAATTTTAATATAGGTAATCAAAATATTTGATTCTTATTTTCCCTTTATAATATCTTTGATCATTATTGATAGAGGATTCCAACATGATAAAAACATTATTCTTATGTTCTATATTTAAAAAAATTTTTTACAGGGCTTGCTAAAAGGAAGGGTATGTTGCTCAGCATATAGAACAACTCAAACATCTATAATATTGTCTTGCTACAATTATTTGTATATCTATCAAAATAAATTGCTCAGTGGGTCTGAAAACAGAATCACTCACCCCACTTTTTAATATATATATATATTTTAACCCATTTCGCAACCTCGCGAGGCGCTCAGTCCAGCTTCGCTTCTTTTGGGGGGGGCTTGGATTTTT